CACCGCCTCGTCCAAGGTGTCCTTCAACTTCTCGGTTACCTCGACACCACTGCCACGAAGGCACATTCAACTATATCACACAACTACGGGGTCTACCACCAACAGGGTCTCCACCTGTACCAACCCAACACTATGAGCGGTTCACCTAGACAACACAGGAACGACAAGCGCAGATCACACAATAGCTGCGAATGGAATTTTCTGGTCCATGTCAACGGCACCGCCCACCCGAATAAGTGTTCGTCCTTCACGGCTTTCGAACGGTAAGTCAGCCATCAACCACTACATGGTCTTCAACGCATTCTTGTTCGACGAGTTAAGGTTTCCCCTCGTCGCCAGACACCCTGGCGCTGCGACACGATCACAACAACCAAAAACATGGCGCAGGGCGCGAGAGTATCGTTCGAGACATGCGTTCGTACAACTACGTACCAGAGAATCTATCACGCTCTCCTCTGTCACACTCGTCTCTCGAAGCACCCAGTCCCCTGTTGTAACACCCTTTGGAGTGTGGCACACAACATCCTAAACGATGGCAACTCGGTGTGTTCGACGCTCCATCAGCCGGCCCATACCCATGCGCAGCCTCGTTCAACACAAACTTCACCTTCTTTCGCACACGTCCAAATTCATGACCGAGTCCTCGGGCTGTTGGAGTACGGCGACACAGGCGGTTGCACCTGCACGATCTCCTCCAACCGCATTCTAGATCTCAACCGACCGCAGAGTCGTTACGTAGGATGTAGCTGCTTAATTTATATGCACTCACTTCTGGATTCAATCGGTTCCCCTCACCCTTCTCTGATCAACTGGTTATGAGCCCAACCGCCTCTCGTTCGCCCTTGGTCCTCACGGACACGAACTGGAACCTTTGGAGAACCGCATTCCGGGGTCGCCTCTTGGCAAAGGGGCTGATGCACGTCATGAAGCTGCATTCGAGCCTCATGACGGAGGACGAGATGCAGACGAGTCGAAGCAGCACGGCAAGTGAAAAAACCTACACTGCATGGGAAGTCGACAACCAGAAGGGTCTGGGGTTGCTAATCGAGATGATTGACCCAACCCAATACCACCACGTGGTGGACGTCGAGACTTGCTTCCACGCCTACAAGCAATTGGAAAACCACCACGAGCCAACCACCGAGGTCGACAGGATTGCCCTGATGGCGGAATACCACGCGATCAAGTGGAATCCGAAGCAAGAAACGCTCCAGGCGTTTCTTGAGCGTTTCGATATTCTACTTCGCAAGCTACAAGCCGCAGACTGCGCCATGCCAGACGACATGGCTGTGGTGAAGGTCCTGGCGCTGATGCCGTGGTGTCTGCGAAGCGTCACTCACCAAATCAACGCTAAACCGAGAAGTCAGCACAGTATGCACGTGCTGAAGACGCTTCTTGAAGCGGAATACCGAGCGGCGCTGGCGAGCAAAGAAATCCTGGCTCCCAACGAGGCCAGCGG